TCTCGGTGGCTGCAGTCTGCCACCCGCACACTCCAGCTCATGGGTGCCACACAAGAGACGTGGGTGGGGGACCTCTCCACGCGCCTGCGTGGCGGTCCTTTCGAGGCCTGGGAGGATTTCATTGCCTACTCCCTTCGTGAGGGTCGGACTCCGACCTTCGTGGATTTCCAGGCGTTCCTCGAGGATCGCTTCGGAGCCTGATACGACGTGACTGACGCCTTCGAGCGTGTCGTCACTACATACTGGTCCGACTCTGGTGGCGCTGCGGGCCTGGATCGCCACATCCAGGTCTTTCAGGACGCCCGCCTCGTTTGCGACGTGGCGTTCCTCCCCGAGGCTGCCCTTATCGATCGTTTCTTGGCCAGCCTTCCGCTCGAGTACCGCTCCGAGCTATGGCGGTACAAGTTCACATCGGCCCCACAGGCTTACGAGGCCGCCATGGACCACCAGCGGATGTGAGCCCGTCTTCACCCCGCCTCCTCCTCCCAGCCCTACGCCTTCTCCTCCTCTCACGGCACTTCCCAGCATCGTTCTCCTTTCCGCGGTCGCCCCCATCATTCCACGCAGCAGGGCCGCCACTTCTCGTGCCGCTTCAGCGCGCTAAAGTATATGGTGAGCAGGATGCTATTGCCCCACTGTCACCTGAGGGCGACCACAGCGACGACCTCGATCTCTGCGAGGCCGTCCACTATCACTTGGAGGACTCTACCCTCCCTGCAACTGAGCGCCTTCAGCTCGCGCTCTCCGCCCTCTCTCGGGCACGCAGCCGCCCCGATCACGCTGGCGCGTCTCCCCCCGAGGTCCTTAAGGAGAACCTCCCTCAGGGCTTCGTCCCTCCTCGCGGTGTCCTTTCCGCTGAGGAGCGCGCGGCTATTCTGGGCAGATGTGGGTAATTGCGCTGCCTCTTGGACGGTCATACCTCCTCGCGGTGCCCTTACACTACTGCCCTCGATCGCCACTACGCTGACCTTTCTCGTCAGCGTCGTGCTCAGTCCCCCCCCGGCGCCTCACGTCCCCGCGGCGCCTCCTAGCCACGGTGCAGTGTACACCTTCGCCCTCCTCAGTAGTGGGCTTCCCGACATCTTCGTCGCGGTTCGCCCCTCTCACTATTGGAGTTGAGGTATCGCAGGACTCGACAGAGTGTACTCAGCCCTCTGTCGCAGCACCGTCTGCGCCTCCGCAGACCACCGTCTCCCCTCCTTCCCCGCCGCGACTACCGACGCGTCGAGCCATTCGCTCAGCCCGTTGCAACGAGCAGCTTGCTATTCGAGAGGACGTTGTGTCCTCTTTTCTGGACTTGAGCATGCTCCAGGCTCGTCAGGAGCGACTCACCCTCCATGTCGCTGCACTGCGTCGCCTTCTCGCCATCCTCTCTGACCCTGATCGCACCCTCCCG